ATGTTGTAATATCTACGCCTGGTCGATTAGTTGATCACATAAGAAACAGCGGCGATTCAGTTTATTTGAAAAGACTACGCTTTCTGGTAATCAATTCTCTATCACTCCTCTGTCCACCGCTTTATGAGTTATCATATTATTAACAAGGATATGTATTGATGTAGATCCTCGATGAGGCTGACCGTCTCTTGTCACCCACGTTTGCCAATGATTTGTCCATAATATTTGACAATATTCCAACGAAAAGGCAGACATTGTTATTCACCGCCACGATGACTGATAGCATCCTGGCACTAGGAAGTGAAGAGGACGAGAAGAAAAAGCCATTTGTGTATCAAGTTAATTCAAAGTACGTATATAAGATGATCGTCTTGAGCATGTATTAACGCTTACGCGACCTTAATGTTGTGAAAAACGACATTTCTCTGATCGTGGCTTTGATGATCGCATATAACGCTGTTATTTATATACTATACGCGATTACTAATACACTGCAGTATGTCCACCGTATCATCATTGACACAGTACTATGTGTTTATCCCGTCTCATGTACGCGAGCCATACCTGGTACATCTGCTAAATAGAGAAGAATTAAACGGAAAGTCGACAATCATATTCTGTGGCAGATGCAGAACAGCCGAGTTGTTGAGAGTGATGCTTTCCAAATTAGATATACGATGTGCAAGCCTGCATTCGGTAATGAGTCAGAAAGAGCGACTAAACAGTCTTGGCAAATTCAGAGCTGAAGCAGTCAAAGTGTTAATAGCTACTGATGTTGGTAGTCGGTATGTGACACGATTACGTGAACAAAAAAAAATAACTTTAACTTGTAAACTGACCTAACCCTGTTTCTGCAATCTTAGTGGTCTCGATATTCCAGCGGTACAATTAGTTATCAATTATAATATTCCAAGCGATTCAGCTGATTATATACATCGTGTCGGAAGAGCAGCTCGAGCAGGTGACAGATTATGGGGAAAGACGTACAAAATGTTATATAAAACTACAAAATTATTCTAATATCGTTATCATTCATAATTAGGACGTGATGGTATCTCTATATCAATCGTTACTGAGCAGGACATTGAACTTGTGCATAATATTGAATCACGCATAAGTAAGGATTCCCCCCCCCCCCTATCAGTTCATATTGGGTTTTTTGTTTTAACATAACATTTCTGAATTTGGCCATCTATTAAACAGGTAAAAAAATGGATGAGTGGAAAATAAATGAAAATAAAGTACTGGATATGTTGAACAAAGTGGCCGATGCAAAGCGTGCTGCTATATTGGTATGTAACCAACCGGTTACCCATCAATTTTGTTTTACATTGTGCATTCTCGCATTAACTTTATATTGATTAATAGCATCTTCACGATTCACACTTTGGATCGGCAAAAGAAATTCAAAAGAAAAAGCATAGACTATTGAACGGAACTGTTGCGAAAAAGAATGTCGGTAGCCGTAGGAAAAAAATAAGAGACGAAAAGGATAATAAAGTAGCAAGTTAATATTAATATGTTATCCCTGTGGATCCAACCGAGTATTTTTCGCATGCCATTATAATCATAATAAATTACAAAAATCCCGACTATTTTCGTATATCAAAAAAGGTAAAGCCATCTGAAATTCCTCCCCACCCCAGTTTAATTAATAGCTGTGACTATGGATAATCCCAAGGTTATTGTCAAATGAGTAAGTAAGGCAGGCGTCAACTTGGAACGTTAAATGCTCATAATCCTAAACGCCTACGTATCCGCACTCCAACCTAAATTAAAAGTTCTGATCACGCGTTTTCTTCGTTCACACCGCAAATAATTGACAAACAAAAAAAATAATTCATAATAATTCACTACAGCATTTGTTATTTAATTAGTAATTTATCTTACAAAATGTGAGGTGTGAAGACTTATGAAGGTGTAGTATCGATTAGTAATTAAGTCGTTAACGTTCCTCCAAGACAGATTGTTAAAAGGCAATTTTTGTCTATGTGAAATAAATTAAGATTCACTTAAATAACCCGTCAAACTCTTGACATAATAGTCTGCATCATCTTCGTCTTCCTCTGTAGTAGTAATATGATTTTTTCTCTCTGATATATTGTCAATGTCATTCTTTGATTCAATGGGTTCTAACACTTCCTCATCCTCATCTTCATCTTCACCCCCATCCTCATTCTCCCCTCCCTCCTCTTCACCCGCATTGTCCTCCATTTGGTGAAACTCCTCAATCATCAACTTGAACTCACTATTATCTGCTAATTCCTCAAGAAAAGCATGCTGTTGAAAGACAACATACAAGACCGTGTTAGTACATAGTCTTCTGTGGTGCGCGTATGAAATATACAAAACTTACTGTCAAAAGTTCCTGTCCTGTTTTCCGTTCATTACTATCCATTTCCGTACATAGTGCTATAAAGTCTTTAAATTTCGCTGTCCATTTTTCTGGATTATTTAGCGGCGGTATACCGTATTTGGCGATAAGTGCCAATGCCTGACAATTTCATTACGTTAACAACTGATTCAGTTTGTTTTTAGAGTCGTCATTCGATACACTTACCTTTAATGGTGGATGTTCAGAATATGGTGGATTACCTTCGGCCATTTCAACCAATACAACGCCCAGACTCCATATGTCAACCTGAACAGAAAACCGACTTGTCAATTAACGATCAAGTTAAAAACGTGTTTACAATATCAGTACTTAAAACAACACTAACTTTTGTGTCATATTGGGATGCTCTTATAACTTCCGGCGCCATCCAAGACGTTGTTCCAACAACAGAGTTTCGTCGGTCATTTGCGTCAGCAAGCTTTATGGCATGACCAAAATCGGCTAAACACGTAATTACATGAAAACAGTTAATTAAGCTGAATATTTTCGAGGACTCTGTTTGCAAACACGTTACCGAGTTTTATATTTCCATCTGCATCCAGCAATATATTATCACTCCTAACGTCACGATGAATACAATGTCCTTTATGTAAATGAACGAGAGCTTGTAATATTGAATGAGCTACAGTCGATATTTGGGACTCTGTAAATCGTGGCCCATCTGAATGCATTAGGATAAGATCTGCTAGCGACACGTCCATGCATTCCATAACAACCTAAAAAAAAAGGTAATGTGAATTTGCGAAACAGAAATTAAGCAGTATCTCCCCGATTGACATTACGAGCGACTCATGGACTTACCCATACTGCCTCCTTTGTAGAATAACACGCAAGACATTCAACTATATTGGCATGCTTGTTCATCTTCATTAGTGAAACCTCATTCTTTAATATGCTCAGTTTTGTCGTACTTGTAAACGGTATAATCTTGATAGCAACCTATTAAAACTTAGCACGTTAGTCCACGTCTATTTCAACAAAAGGACAAATTTTCAAGTCCCAAAGCAAC